CCAGCCTCCATAATTGTGAGAACAAAATTTCTGTTGTTTAAGCCACTTTGTGGTAGCAGGCTCCCAAAGCAATACTACAGGTAATTGAGTAATAGAGACACTCACCCTCAAATCACAGCCATTTAGAGAACATGATTCTGTAATTTTATATTTATGCCAATTCTCTGATCCATGAAGCAAAACTGGCTTCCTTCTATCAAGACCCGCTCAAGGCCAAGGTGAGCAGGACCCCATCTTAGCTGTTTGCTGCTGCTCTGCTCTGCAACTATGATTGCCTTCTTTCTTCCTCCAACCCAACTCCACTGGGCCCAGCCAGTCACCAGCTGCCTGTGCCCCTTTGGATGAAAACTAGATTGATCAATACTTCAAACTCCAGACTGATCACAAATTAATGACACCACCTTTCTCAGACCTAGGGCATGACAGAGGAAGCACCCACAGGTGTGGAAAGTAAGAACACTCTGGACCCCTCTGGCCTTGTCTTCCACTAGTAGCTATGTTACCCTTAACTCCCCTGTCTCATTTTGCTTATCTGTGAAGTGAGGCAACTTCACTGGATTATTCAAACCCTGAGTTCATGGAAAAGCAGTTTTTAAGCTTTAATGTTTCCTACAAAGGCCACAAAGCTGTTAACTCACCTTTGAGGGTTTTCATTGTAACAGGCCCTATATAAGGTATGTATTGCATCAAAGATATCCAAAAATGCAAACTGCACTGAATGCACTAAGATGAATGGTATGTGGTGTTTGTCATCATGGGATGCACACAAAGGAATGGTTGGATACAGGAAAAGGATGCAGGGGCAAGGGGTATGCTACAGAGATGCTTGGGGTGATTCTACAGCACTGAGCTCAGCCTCCTGACACCATTCAGGAGACTTGAGAATTTATACAAAACACTCTCTACATGGATAGTGAAGACAGAAAACAAGAATTTGCCTAGTTAAGGTGGTTAACCTCAAAGCTAGAAGGATATTTCTCATCAAGAAATGCGTAGTAAAAATAAATGTATTAAGTGGTGAAATAGAAGTGTTTGTGATTTCTTCCAAAGGCAAATTTTAAAACCAGGATTTCAGAAGGCAGGCGTTTCACTGAAGGTAGTCCTAGGAAATATGCAAAGATGGAGAAGAAAACTGATAAATGATACGTTATCAGGTAGACCAGCTGCCTCAGTGGGCAACTGGAGCTTAATCTGATAAGGGATTCGACTCCATTAGATAGAGTAAAAGCATGTGTCTAGGTTACCTGACTCCATGAGTGAAGGGGTTAGGTATAAACACTACTCCCATCAGTCCTTTGTCCAGAACTGTACCTTAGTGACTGTTTTTCTGCCTCTTCAGTTACTCGTTATATGGGCAAAGTGCCCTCTAGTGGCCACAGAAGAACCACAAAGGCTGACAGTTGGATAGGGTGGAAGAATTGAAGGGAGGGTGCCCGTAACATCTGTAGATGTAGAAACGTGGACTGGTGATGTAGCCCAGTGGAAAAGTAATTGTTAACACATGCAAGGTCTGAGTTTAATCCCAGTGCCAAAAAAAGGAGAAATCTCTTTGTGTTTTAGGAGCCAAAGGTCTAATTTGGGGAATTGTAGGCACTGAGGTTGGAAATGTAGGTAGGGTTGAGGCCATGAATATATGCCATGCTATGTTGTTGGAGCTTTTTCCTGAGGGCAACTGTGGCCTTTGGAAGGTCTTAAGAATGGGAGATGACCTCTCTACTGGCTAGCTTTCATAGTGTTGGAAGGTGCTTTGCATTCCATCCAAAGGAAAAAATATTCATCATCCTTTCCCAGCTGTGAATCCTGTGAATTAAAACAACTGGCCTTTCAAGATACACCTGCTGATGCAATAGTGTCAGGAATATTATGGGAGTAACCAACCACTTTCTACTTGGATTTAAGGTCCACTTCATAGGTTAGAGTCCATAACTGACATTGATATCAGGTTTAAGAACCTGAAGCTAGACAGGTCACAGGACATAGGAGACAGCCTAATACTAGTTTTTTACTTAATAGTGATGGTGTTACATTGACTTATTATTATACCCTTAGATTAATGCATCTCTGAATGCTTTCCAGAGAAGTTTCCTTATGGAGCAGATGGTGATTAAAACAGAAATCCACAACTGGCCAAAGTGCAGAAAACAAGAGGCTGCAGAGTGCTTATTCCTCAGTAGGACACCTGGATCAAACTTCTGCTCCCTGAGGCTTGGGAATAATTATGGAAGAGAGGGTAGAAAGACTGCAAGAGCCAGAGGTAGTGGAAATAGTTTTCCAGGTCAGTTACAGCTGGTCAGCTGATCATATAAACTCAGGACAATGATCACAGTACACTCAAGTCCCACTCGAACTCAAACCAGACAAAATTCCAACACAGACATGGGGAAGTGGGTAAGAAACCCCAATCCAACCTAAGAAACTTTTAGCAATTGATGACTGCTCAGAGTGGGAGAGACAGTCTGTTTCAAGGATGGGACTGTTGGTAGGTTAACCAGGCTCCAGTGGATGCATACCCACATAGAAGGATATTTGGGGACACAAATGAAAATCTATAGGCCATATTGTACAGTACATTAAATTGGGTGGGGGAAGAAAGGAGAGTGTGAATAGGGGAGGGTATCTAAATACCATCAAACTATATTATATAAAAATTGCAAAAATTCAATAAAAATATTTTTGAAAAAGAATGGGAAATGCAAGGTCAATATGGTATATGATGAATGCCTTTGAATAGAACAAGGCTGGAGGCCAACCAATAGAAAGCATTCCTATTAGTGGTCAGGCAAGGATCTGGAAAGAACCTGATTTTTTTTTAAATAGCAGGAGTATTAGAAACATTTAGGAGACAAAAATAAAGTCAACAGGACTTGGTTATTTATGCGATATGGACATGACCAAGAAAAGCCAGAGAGCACTGAGACTCTCTAACGTTGATGATTCGGCAATGCCTGTGCTTCCAGTAGTTGAGAATGAAGGACTAGAGGCAGACTTGCCTAGAGAGCAGATTCACTAAGTGGGTGGAATGTGATTGACGAGCTTGAGCGACAGAATCTGAAAGCCCAGGCACTAACCTGGAGATAGAAACTTGGAAACTGCCACGAATGAGGGGTGGAGAGCTGCATGAATGAGATAGGTGGGCTAAGCATGTCAAAACCATCCAGTGGGTCATTCGCAAAACACTTAAAATGGGAGGAAGCTTTTAAAAAAGAAATCCTTGAGGGGGCCAAGCACAGGAAAATGAACTATTTCACTAAAGCATGGAAAGTCAAGAGACAAAATCCTGAGTGACCGACATGCCAAGCTGCAGAGATGGAGATGCCCAGTGAGAGGGGAAGTGGCATATATGTGCTGGTTTTCCATGTTGGATGGCTTGTTCTCCATGTATTTCATTTCAGCTTGAGAAGTGAAAGGGAACAGACAGAGAAGAAAACTAGCTTGGCAAGGTTGGTAGGTAGGATGAAGAGGGACTGGTTGATAGACACGGGTATCTGCAGGATTGGGGGTATGCTGTTTTCTTTCTTTTAGAATAAACTCTTAAAAGCTGGGGAGAGGCGTAGAGAGGACAATGTCATGGCTGGCTTCGGATGTCAACTTGACACACCTAGGAAGAAGGAACTCCAACTGGGGAATTTCCACTACCAAATTGGCCTGTGGACATGTCTGTGAGGAATTTTATTAATTGCTGAGTGATGGGGCAGTTAGCCCACTGTGAGTGGTGCCACCCCTGGGTAGGTGGTCCTGGATTACATTTTTAAAAAGCAGGCTGAACACAAGCCAGAGGAAGCAGGCCAGTAAGCAACAATCCTCTACGGCTCCTGCCTCTGGGTTTCCTCCTTGGAGTTCCTGCCTTGGCTTCCCTTTCTGATGGACTGTGAACTATAAGCCAAATAAATTCCTCCCCACATTGCTTTGGGTCAATGTTTTGTCACAGTAGTAGAAAGTAAGCTAGGAGAGACAGGAATAAGAAATTAGAATAAAGAATGGATTGCCAAGGGTCTACATTGTTGAAGAAATTATAAGCAGGTCAAGAGCTCAGGTAGAAGCATTGACTTTCAGTAGAAAGGAGAAAAACACATTATTGGAGTTGAAGAAAAAATAATGAAAATTATTATTAATATAGATATATGCACGAGGACCAGAACGGGGATTAGTTACCAGCCATCAACAGCTTTCTTGGTGAGGAAGAAGGAAACATCATGTACTGAGAAGAACAGTGTAGAGGGTTAGGTTAAGGAGAGGCTGGACTGGTCACTGAGAACAGAAAAAGAACTGACCAGGGACAAAGGCATGAGTATTCAGAAGGGAGGGCCTGGCTCAGGTTGAAGACCACGTACATTTTGATGATCTGTGATTATGGTGCAACAGATGGAACTTCTGTGTCCCTCCAAAATTTCTAAAGTATATCTTTCCACAGAATACCCCTAGTGACCTACTTCCTCCAACTACATCCCACCTTCCACTCCCCACCTCCTCCCAATAATGCCACTGTTTTATAAACCCATCAAGGGACTCAGCCACGAGGACAGAACCCTCAGGATCCAGTCACCTCTCAGAGTGGTCAGATCTAGATCTACCAGCCAGGGACCAAACCTTTAACACATGAAACTGTTGGGAGACACTTAGAGTCTACATGACAGTGGGATTACTGCCCTTATTTATGAGTTCCCAAAGAGTTGGCTTGCTCTTCTGCCATGTGTGGATGCAGCTAGAAAGCACCACCTTTGAACCAGAAGTGGCCACCTCCAGACACTAAATTTTTCAGTTGCTTCCCAGCCTCCAGAACATGAGAAATAAATCTGTGGTTGATAAACAACCCAGGCTAACATATTGTGTTATAGCAGCTTGAAGGTACTGAGACCATGTTGATATAATGGTGTCTATGCTCTCATTTTCTGTCCTCTCATTGGATACCTGTGCCTGATGCCCAGGTCCTTACGCACAAGTAGCATCATTGCAGAACCTGACCTCTGATGATCTTTTCTTCTGCCTTCCTCTCTGCCCAGGAACTGTATTCTCAGTCCTATGATGCTGTTGGGGTGATGTTTGCCTCCATCCCAGGATTTGCAGACTTTTACTCTCAGACTGAAATGAACAACCAAGGAGTGGAATGCCTGCGCTTGCTGAATGAGATCATCGCTGACTTTGACGAGGTAACTCTAAGCCTCAGAAATTTACAAACACAAATGAGCATCATTGTCTTTATAACGTTGTGTTATCGATTGGAAGGTGACTTTTTAACACATACTGAACTATGGTATGTATTATAAACACAAGCATGCATCATCTGATTTAATTTTCACAGTTACAATGTTTGCCTAAATAAATTGATATCTTGATATATGTATATATTATAGAATAATTAAATCAAGCCAGCTAACATTTATTCACCTGTTTTTCCCAATTTTTAGTAAAAACACCTAAAACCTAGTCTCTTGAAAATGTTCAAGTATACAATCCAGTATTAACTCTAGTCACCATAGGGCATGGTAGACCTCCAGAACTCAGTCTTCTGTCTACCTGAAGCATTCTATCCCATTACAGCCCTGTCCCCACCTCATCCTGTGCCCTAATAACCGTGTTGTACTCTCTGCCTCTGAGTTTGGCATTTTCAGATTCCACACAGAAGTCAAATCACACAGTAGGGTCAAAGGAAATGAGACATAATCACTTCCTGCTTCTCATAACCTCATCATTTGGTCTGTAAATGTGTTTTACACAAGGAGTTCTGTCTAGTGCACTGGTACACAAGGCTGTGTAAGATATGATGGTAAATTCCATGGTGACAGCACCTTTAAATCCCATCTTCCAGGCTAGGCCATCAACTCACAAAGAGAGAACTTTCTTTTATATCCTGCTAAGTCTCTAACACCTGCCGCTGGGTCTAGCACATTTAGAGATACCATATTGGGCTTGGAGTATAGCTCAGCTAACATGTGAGGTCCTGGGTTCAAACACCATGGAGACTGCTTAATTTTAATTTAAGGGAAAGAAGCCCCTAAGAAGCCCCTTCAGCTCACCATTCTGAAGGATGGAAGTCCAAGATCAGGTACCTCACCTTTTCTTTTTTTATTTTTTTGAGAAATGCATTAGTACTGTATTTACATCATTTCTACCTCTAGCTCTACCCCTGCAACTCTTCCCACATTTCCCCACTCCCTCTCAATTTTATGACCTCTTCTTTATTACCATTAGACATACACACACACACACACACATACATACACACACACACACATACACACACAGATACACACATACACACACACACACACACACACACACACGGAGTCTCATCTTTTGAGGACTCATCGTGCTTCAAGCACTCAAGAGTTGGCAGCTAAGCTGGGTCAAGTGAAAGAAGCAAAATGTAAGGACAGAGTTGCCTGAACTCAGTGTTAGGATCACTGATCTAGTCCCAGGGAAGTACTTTAATCCTTCTAAAGGCTCCCATCATCTCTCAGCAATTCTGTATTGAAGGACAAATTTCAACATGAGTTTTGGAGATGACAAACCACACTCAAACCATAGTAGAAGCATGTAACGTGATTGCTTAGTATTTTATGAAGAAATTATTGAGGAAACAGGAACTAGATGGCAAATAATAAGTGAAGGCAGGTAACTATAATCCATAACATTCCTTCAAAAAAAACTAAAAATATCTCTATTAAAATTATCCAACTAAAGGCTGAGACATCAGATTTTGGTGTGTTCTAAAATTGCATTACATCCCAGCTCCCAAAAGTGCTCACAGTACATTTTCAGGTTGTAAGAAAGTAAATTTGAAATAAATTCCCATCTCAATACACCAAATTGTGGAATGCCCTGGATGCTTCCAGAAGCACAGAAAGAGAGCAGCGCCCCTAAGAAATGACAGAAATGGGTGTTTGCAGAGGGGCGCTGATGATAAGGGAGCTGGTCCAGGAGGCTGTATCCTTTAAAGCATGGGCTTCAGATCAACAAAGGAGGATGGATAGGCCAAGGGGGGAGGGGCAAGGACGGAAAGACGTGAGAAAGAAGAGGGGCAAAGATAAGAAAGCGAGATAAAGACGGAAAGAGGGAAGGAGAGGAGTCAGCAAAGGAGCAAGGGGCTGAAGGACAGCAGTCAGCAGGAAGTGCGTTCTCTGTTGAACTCAAGCATGCTCTGCTTCCCCTTGTGTGCCCTCGAAACACCCAGGTGCACCTCCCTTCTTTACCTCAACACAGGCTTCTAGCTCCTTCCTGACTGAGCTAAGTTTAACAGTGACACTGCTCTCCTTGATGATACAATTATCATAGTGACCTGAAATCCTGAAAAGTATTTCTTGGTGTAGAGGAAAGCTGAACATTCTTTAAGACTCTGTTTTCAACACCCTAATGTCAGTTACCCATTCCATAGCCCCATTCCTCCATGAAGGGGTAAAAAGGAGTTCTTTAACAGCTCACTTTGCAGTCCCATCATGAAAGGGGATGATTAAGGACCCCATTAGGCTCCCAGATACCCTTAGCAATAAAATATGTAAATTTTCTATGCGGATATTAAATAAAATAATGATGTCTCTTGCTTCCTCCAAATTAGCCTCTGAGAAGGGCAACTTTGTAATTTGTCTAAAAGTGGCCAAGAGCCAATTTTAGAGAATATAAAAGGACTGCATCTGATCAGCCAGAGCCAGCAGAAAACTAAGAAAATTCAGGAGTATAAAGGCAGAGGGAGATTGACAGCTGAAGATGTCCTGAAGATCTTCAAGTTAAAATAGTCACAACTGAAGGACTTCTAAAAGACCAAATGTATTTGGTGATGTCTGAGAGTAAACGTCAGACATCTGAGGCTTCAGATCTGTATACCTGAGCACAACTTCCAGAATCTCAATGAGGCTAGAGACTAGTTCAAGTTAGACCAAGAAACACACACACACACACAAAATATACACATGTAAACACTCATACACACATATACACAAGCATAACATGCACACACATAAACACATACACGAGACACATAAACACGCATACATACTAACACCATACGTTCATGAATACATGAAGACACATACACACAGATGTACATACATAGACATATAAATGCATGCACACATATACACTCACATACACACACATATATATATACTCACACATCATCACGTACACACATAAACATACATACACACTCACACATATACACACACGCATACACACATACATGCATACACACATACACACATTTACGTAGCAATGCAAGTCACAAAAGTACTGCTGTGTCCCCAGGGTTCCAGAACAATTTCTCCTAAGCAGGAATTTTCTGCATTTTTCTTAGTGCTTAATTCATTTTGAAAAGATGAAGTTAGCATAGCAGTTTCTTAAAAATCCACCTTGTCCACTCTACCACCTCATCTGTCCTTCTATACCCAGAGCTTGAGACCCTGAGAATATTACAGTCTTAAATGAAGGCAAAGAGTTAAAGAACTAGAAGTTGCCTTTAAATACTACTAAGAGGCTGGCATTTCTGGAGTTCAGAGTCAGATGTCCCTGAGTCCTGGCTCTTCCACTTGGGGCCAACTTCACAGTTGTGCAACCCATGCAGTAACACAGGCACGTGTCCTTGGTTTAATGTGCTGCTGTCTCCATTCTGTAAGCCTTAATTTCTGAGCAGTGGTTTCCATTCCATGTTTTCATTTGGCCCTGGGCACTGCAAACTATGTTGCCAAGGAACAGCATAAAAGGAGTCAAAGGGTAAAATTGGCAGACCCACTTATGAGTTTGCCTGAGGCTTTCGTGGTGCAAACTCTGAACACCTCACATCCCCAAAAGCCCCTCTGTCCCAGGTTAACAGGATGGCTGGACACTCTTGCTGCAACCTCAGACAGGATCAGAAAAAACAGGCTCACTGATAAAGTGGTATGTGTATAAATCCCAGAGATGACAGCACAGAATCAGATCAAGTCATAGGTACACTGGGAGAAAGGGCAGAGGGGAAAGCCAGCACAGAGCCTTGAAGATGGAGCACACCAGAGCATCCCATGGTTCGCTCTTATAATCACATCTGGAAGCGGTATTTAATGGTTCTGTGATTTATCCGTTGCTTAAGTAGAATGCACAGCAGACTTACATAGTTCATATTTCAGCTATGGAAGGTAAGTTCAAATCCACATTAGCTTCAGTCTTCATTGTCACATGCAGCTGTTAGGGAAAGTTGCACAGGGTAAGGGGACCTTCAAGCCCCTTGACGGTGTGCATTATCTTCCCAGCTTTATACCCTTAGCTTCTATACCAGTGCTTGCAATATAATGGCATTCAATTTCTGTCTACTAAAGGGAGAGCTGAATGAAGGAGTTAACTATCCATCAGGCAAATCGCTCTCTTCCTTTAACTAAAAACAGCTTCTCAAATGTGTGTGCATGCCAGCATCACCCAGAAGGTTTGTACTAACACCCCCAGAATTTGAGTTAGATGTGGGTGGGTCTGTGGTTTTGTACCACTGGCAATGCTGCTGGGACCACACTTTGAAAAGTCCTGCTCCTAAAGCAGAACACAGAACCCTGGAGCTAAGCATCAGGGTTGAAATTCCTCTTAGCTGCTCAGTTTCCTCTTACATAAAACAACTACTGGCTAGGACAGCATCATGCCACATCACCGCTACTAGGTGAACTTTCTTAGTTTTTTCTTTATTTTTGAGAATTTCACACCTGTATATGATGAAATATGATCCTATATATCTCCATTTCCCTCCCTCTCACCCCCCCATGTCCCCCCAACGTTCCCCCCTCTCATATCCACTGGAGCATGGGAAACCTACCAATGGCCCCATTGTCAAAAAAAGTGACTATCCCTCCTCCAGGGATTTTGACTGACTTGATCTTGTACAGGTCTCATGCAGGTAATCACAGCCACTGTGTCTTCATGATTGAGACAGTCATGTCATATCTAAAAGACAGCACCTCACAGCACTCCTCCCCATCCTCCAGCTCCTACATGCTTTCCTCCTCCTCTTCCCTCATGTTCCCTGAGCCTTGGTGGAGGGGGGTTGATATAAATGTCCCATTTAGGGCTGGGCACCCCAGCTCTCATTCTCCATGCTTTGATTCGTTATGCACCTCTCCATTGGCTGCTGTCCACTACAAAAGAAGCTTCTCTCACTAAGATTGAGAGCACACCAGGTCTATGGATATAAATGCAAATACTTAAAAGACAATTTGACATCATGACCATTTAGCAAAATAACAATAGCAAGTTCTACCCTAAGTTCCATATCCTCCCCAAGCCATGAGCTTTTTGATCAGGATTACACTAGCAGACAGGAATTTCCCTCCTGTGGAGAAGACCTCAGATACAATCAGAAAGACACTTCATTACCCCATAATAGTTATGCCACTGTTGCGCCAGTAGGAACACCTTGTCTGGCAGGTCAGTATTGTAACACGTAGGATCCAGTGCTGGGTAAAACCATTGGTGTCTTCTCCCCAAAAAACCTGTATAGCACCTTCTGCCACTATGAAACCCAGCCAGCAGGGAGGCCGTTTCCTCGTCCATTTGAGATTGATTTTCTCTATGTCCTGCAGCCAATCTCTGTGTTGTCTTCAGAAATTGGATCTTAACCAAGTAGTTATAGTGGTAACCAAGGACAATGGCAAGAGCCTGTATTGTTTTGAAGTCCTCGGGGGACTCCCTGACCAATATCTCATAAAGGGATATCTCATGCCTTGTACTGTGATTTTTATTTTATAAACTGGGTGAATGTTAATAAACTGAACTGAGTGAAAGCCTGTACAAATATCACCTGATGAGCCCAATGAATATGAACAACTATCACTGCCTGCCAGGCCTTAGACTGGAGATACAAGGAAACACGCTGCTTTGTTCCCAGCCTCAAAAATACTACCATTAACCTGGGATGCCAAACGTTGATCATTCACCATAAAGAATCAGTGATAGATGAAGGAGGACTGAGAGGGTGAGGCAGGAACAGTCTAAGGAAAGGCTGAGGAGAGGTGCACACCTCAGGTTTCTCAAGAAGTCATGCACTTCAAGGTCACAGCTTAGCAATCTCTGGGGCTAGAGATTCTTTATGTTTGTGAAAGGTCAATATAAAATGAACACAGGCAACAGAACAGCAAGTGGTATAATTCAAAACTAGCCTTAATTTTCCTGCCTGCCTTTTCTCTTGCCTCCTGACCTTTGTCAAACACAAGCACACACACTCATGTACACATGTAGTCACAAACATGAACATGAACACTACACATATTTGCAGAATTTCAGGGAGGGTAAAAAGTAGATCAAGTTAAACCAAGAAACATCAGTGATCCAGGCATGGTGGTGCACACCTTTAGTTCCAGCATTCAGGAGGCAGAGCCAGACAACCTGATCTACATAGTGCGTTCCAGACCAGCTGGGGATATAGGGAGACCCTGACCCAAAAAAGAAACAGAAATGGTGAGGAAAAGCTTTCTTAGCTGTGAATCAAGCCACACACACACATACATGCACACACACTCACACATCTAGATACATATAGGGAGACCCTGACCCAAAAAAGAAACAGAAATGGTGAGGAAAAGCTTCCTTAGCTGTGAATCAAGCCACACACACACACACACACACACACACACACACATGCACACACACTCACACATCTAGATATACACATACACACACATACTCACATGCATATACATATATATGTATATATAGTTTACATACACGTATAGGCAGAATGCCCGCACACAGATACACACATGTAAACAAATATTTGCACACAAATATATGCCTACATACTCACACACAAATGCACACAGGTAGATGTGTCTGCATAAAACTTCACCTGCACTTACTACATACTGTGTCCACTTCTGTGAATACAGATACACACAAACACCACACACTAAAAAAAAAATTTAAGGGTTGTCATGATGTCTCAGAAGATAAAGGCACTTTCTACCAAGCCCAACAACCTAAGTTCAATCCTTGGGTTCCACACAGTAGAAGGAGAGAAAGTATTCCTACAAGTTGTCCTCTAACCTCTAAACCTCCATAAGCATGCTCACACACACACACACACACCATTCTAAATAAATGTGAAAAATATTTTAATTTGAAAACCATCACACACATAAGCATACCAACACCACCCCCCAATACGTATCCACATAGGCACACACACGTACAAATTCACTCTACACTGGTAATCATGATAAGAAGCTTTTTCTTAGAAAGACCACAAAGCACCAAGCACTTCAGATCCTGTCACCTATACAATCTCTCAAAATATCCATCTTTCTTCATCACTAACTTGTAGGACGACAACCCTTTTACTTTCCCCTGCAGCAGCCAGAAGACCCTTCAAAAATTCAAACCCAACCTGGATTCCACCTGCTTATACCCTTCGGGGCTCCCATCGCTGTGGGCATGGGAACTCTGTCTTTCAAGTTTTCTGTGTGCCCTGCAGGGCCCCACATGTTCTGGCCCTGTTTCCAGCTCCTCTCTTTAAGCTCTCAGTTTGGCTTACCACATGGCAGCCTTCTTAAGTCTCTGGAGCTACCCTGCATCCCCTCAACTGAGGCTTTATCTATGTTGTTCCCTACATCTAGATGCTCCTTCATCCCTTCTATGTCCTCCCTACTGCCTCCCAAACATGCACAGAGACTCATCCACTTCTTGGAAACCCTCAAACTTTACAACTGGAACTAGATATAGTTGTTCAAGAACGCCGTCCCTGACTCACCAAAGGAGATGCAAATGGCCCGTTTTTTTTTTTATCCTTACACTTTGTACATTTCCATCATGAACTTGGACCTGTTTCCTGGGATTATTGTTAACATCTGAGCTTCTGACTTGGCCCTTTCACTCTGCCATGGCTGGGACCTCATGCACATTATTCACCCAACAGGCGGGAGCTCAAAGGATAGCAGCTTAATTTCCTATTGTGGCTGCAGCGAATTACCACAAATTCAGTGTCTTGAAACACCAGAAATACATTGTCTTAGAGTTTGAAGCCAAGAGTCCACAGTGGATCACATAGGAGCTAACATCAAGGTCTTGGCAGGACTTTGCTCCCTCTGGGGGCTCCAGGGGAGAATCCATTTCTTGGCCTTTTCCAGCTTCTAGAGGCACCTGAATTCCTTGGCTTGTGGCCGCTTCTTATCTGGAAAGCCATAGGTCATACCATTCTGACTTCTGTTTCCTCCATAGTATCTCTCTTGCTTCCTTCCTTGATTCCTAAGGGCACTTATGATGTGTCACATATACACGAGGTATGCTCTCTATCCCCAAATCCTAGCCCTAATCCCACCTTCAAAGTCCCTTTGGTCACGCAAGATTGTGGATATGTGTGAATTCCAGGGATTAGAACATCAACATTTTCAGGGCCAGGCTCAGGAGCATTGTTCTGCCAAATGATGTTACTGAACAGGAGGCCAAGGTCTCCCTTCCGTAGTGTTAGTATCTAAATTGCAGGTAGCACAGAGGAAATTCCAGAGCTTCTAACTTTTCTTGAATTTATTTATTCATTTATTTATTTATTTTCTTGAATTCATTTATTCATTCATCCCTACCATGCTCAAGGCTCTGTCTATGTGTGGAGCTGTAAACACAATAGGCCCTGATACCTGCCCCAGGAGGAAGATGACAGGAAGGGCACAAAATCAGGGCCGAGTCTAAGGAAGGGAGATGAGACAGGGAAGGAAGACGGCAAGGGCTGCGTGGGAATAGCTGTGCTCCACTTAGCATCTGGTCAGCAAGGCTACACCAAAAAGACAGAGTCCGGCAGCACAAGAAGGAGGGACAGCAGTGGTCATGCTGTTGTCTGAGGGAAACATCATCCCACAGGGGATGGAAAACACAGGCATCCTGAGGCAGAAGCAGGCAGGACTTGTTCAAAGATTGGTAAGGATGTCAGGGGGCTAGAGCAGAGAAACCACAAGAGAGGGGGCAGGTCACGGCAAGCCTTGCAGGTGACAGTGAAGACTGGCTTTGATCCTGAGTGGAGCTGGAAGCCACTGGAGGGTTTTGCACAAAGCAGGGACGTGGCCTGACTCACTCATAAATGGTGTCATCTGACTACTATGCCGGCAGAGAGACCACAGGGCAAAAGAAGAGCAAGCTGGAAGTTTGTTTAGATGATGGTGCTGGCTTGGAAGTGCATGAGTGGTCACATTCTAAGTATATGTTGAAAGTAAAGCCAAAAAGACTTGTTATTTCTTCTTTAAGCTAGTCAAATAGCCTTGGTTATACAAAAATTCACTGAAATGCACCTGCTTTTTCAAGAGTATCTAACCATACCAGTTTGGGCTCCTGGCACTTAGCAGGTACTCAGAAAACACAAGTTGATTGGATAGACGGCCCTGAGAAAGAAAAGAAACCACATCGAGAATGCTCAGCCATTTGAGTTAGATCTTTCTCGATGGTGAATGAGGGGACCACTTTCAGGAGCCCCAAGAAGCTAGAGAACTACAACCAGTCTTGTCAATATACACAATGACTAACATCATCTCCTGAATCTGTTTCAGTTGCTTGGAGAAGACCGGTTTCAAGACATTGAAAAAATTAAGACCATTGGTAGCACCTACATGGCTGTCTCAGGCCTGTCACCAGAAAAACAGGTAAAAGACTCCCTGGTCTCAGTCACACCTATGCAATGGGGCTTACTGCTTGGGGAGTGATGGAGAGGAAATCTGTACTGGGCTATCACAGTTGCAGGATATACACTCACTCTCGACAGAGAGGAATTACTGGATGAGATGATGCTACTCTGTTAAGAAATTTCTAGGCTTTGTTCTGAACCTCTTTGTTTACTTGAACAAAAATCTGTGCCAAGAAAGACCTTGACTGTGATTTAGTTGTGAGTTTATAAAACCCCTAATACTAGCCCATTTTTCTTCTTTCTTTCCTTTTAAGATTTTATTTTTATTTTATATGTATGTTTTGCCTACATGTATATTTAAGTGCACCATGTACATACAGGTACCTCCAGAGGCCAGAAGAGGGCATTGGATCCCCTGGAACTGGAGTTACAGGCAGTTATGAGCTGCCATATGGGTACTGGGAACCAAACTCTGGTCCTCTGCAAGAGCAGCAAGTGCATGTAACCTCTGAGCCATCTCTAGTCCCAAACCCATTTTCTTACTCTTGTTCTCATTTTATCTTTCAAAAGTGTTTATGTGATGATGATAGCAATCATTTTGTGAAGTGTTTGGCTGCATGCCATTGGTGTTAATGAGGACACTAGCCTCTGCCTTCCGGGGCTGATGGTTGGGTAACCAGAGCTACTCTTCTGCTCCCATACAAAGCCTTGCACCTTGAGTCCTCAACAAATTTTAAGTCAATATGGGTTCACAGCTGAAACTACCAATTTCTGTAAGGCTCCAAATTTCTCTCACACACACAGTCTCACTCCCTTTTAAAGAGGTAGTCAGGGCCAGTGGGCTTCTCCTCTATAGATTTGGAAACTGAGAGGCAAAGAAGCTCTCGCTGTACTTCCCTTAAGAGTTTCACCAGCAATTGTCTACAAGAAAAATTCCTTAAACAGACTCGATGAGCACTTCAGGGGAAGCAGACATGGTTCCCAGATTGGGAAACCTGCATACACAAGGATAGGAGCCTGCACACATGGACATTCATAAAATGCATGCACGCCCTTGAGCACACTCAGAAACCCATGATGCGTCAGCCTTAGTAGACAAGTGTAGATGCAGAGGAAAGATGTGATGACATCCACACCCTACACTGTTAAGCGAATCTCCTGCACTCTCCCGCCTCTGGGATACTGATGACTTGCATGTACAGGGGCTCACTGGAGTGGTTATTTCCTTCCAAGCAATGCCCAGCTGGGATTAGACTATAAAACCTCTGCTAAAGACATCCAAATATCTGTCACATTGAGTGAACCCCTCATGTTTTCCCCAGCAATGTGAAGACAAGTGGGGACATTTGTGTGCCCTGGCTGACTTCTCTCTAGCACTGGCTGAAAGCATACAAGAGATCAACAGGCATTCGTTCAACAATTTCGAGCTCCGGATTGGTGAGTTGCAGCTAGACGTGCGGACCCCAGAGAGCCAAGTGCTTCTGTTCCATCAGCCCTTTCTAGGTCCTGGGCATCCGTCCAAAAAGCATTCTTTTGCAAAATGCATGAGGTTCAGTGTGACCCTGACAAGGACAGGCACAGAGTCAGCTTAGGCCTTTCCAAGTTTCCTCATTCAAAATGTTGGCAGCAAATTCTGACCTGTGCGGAAACTCAAAGCAAACACTAGGCTGTGTGGTTAGCCTCCCTTATGACATATCCATGTGGTACCCTGACCACCTGTGCAAAGTCATGCTTAGAGACATAACTCATGACCTAAGAATCATTTAATTCTGACTTCTTCATGTTATTCAAAGCTGGTAGTCAATATATTGTTCCCTGGTACTTCTGGATAATGCCGCAGGAAAACCAAGGATGTATTGAATCAGAGACAGGGAAAAAGCCTTACAGCAGCTACTCGGTCACACAGTTCACCCTCCTTAAGTACTTGGGGACAAATACTCCTTGTGCAAAATAGCACAATAACCATTGCAATGGAATAATAATCCCCTACATTTCGTAATTTGTTAACTCTTTCCACATCTCTGCTGAACCATCAGGAGCATCTGAAAGCCCCTGCTGTAACCCACATTCACATTTTGTAGATGAAGAAAGTTAGGCCCACAACAGAGTAACTAGCCTAACATCACACCACCAAACAGCCCTGCCAGCCTCAGCTTCAGGGAGCCTGACTCCAGTGAATGACATTCTGTCTACTGAGGGGCAGTTTAAGCCAAATTTTGCTGCTGTCCCCACATTGTAGACATCCTGTGACTGACATGCAATTTTATTTCATTAGGATCACCCTTAGCAGCTTGCAAGAAAAAAAGGGGGTCAAGGAACACCAGTATCTGACTCTATGGATCTGAAAAATGCCATATGACTTTGCTCTTTGAAATAAAAGAATTTGGGTCTTATGGTTGTGATCTATGGATAGGAAGTTCAGGGCTCATTCCCACATCTTCCATCAACCCCACATGCCTTTCTAAAATAGTCGACTGAACAATTGAATCAGGAAGGAAAAGAGGCTATTAGCACTGAATCAAGAAATATTCTAAGCAGATTCTAAAAATATTGCTGTGACAAGGGCTAACCTTTCATGTAATACATTAAACTGCTAGCACTGTTTTCCAAGGCTAGAAATCTCCACTAGACTGAGCATCTCAATCTGTGTTTCATTGTAACAACTCTATGACTTTGAGCACAAGACTGAAACCCTCTGAGCCTCAGTTTCCTCATGTACAGGCTAGATGGTATGTGATTGGCCTGCTGCCTACTGACCTCATGGGAATCATATGAGAGTCAAATGGCATAATGCCTCTCAAGATTTTAAAGCACTAACCAGCACTGATACGTGCTATACAGCCGTGTGTGTGTGTGTGTGTGTGTGTGTGTGTGTGCGCGCGCGCGCGTGCATATGCATGTGTGTATGTATAGTGTATGATGTGTAATGTCTGTATTTGTGTAGATGTGCATGTGTATTTTGCTCTTCCTTCTGCCTGTAATGATCTTACCCAGATATCTTCAAGGCTAATCATTTCTACCACTTTCCATAAACCTCAGCTCAAAGCTAGGCACATTAAAGGCTCATGCCTTTAATCCCATTACTTCTCAGGAGGCAGAACCCAGTAAGCCTCCGTGAGTTCTAAGCCAACCTGGTCTACATAGCCAATTCCAGGCCATTCATAGACATCCGGTGAGACCCTGTCTCAAAAACAAAAACAAACAAAAAAATGAATCCGCTCAAAAGATCTTCCCTAAATACAGTGCCTCTCATCTTTATCCCTATACACTGATAGATTTTAACTTATATTATTTGCTGTTATTATATTGCCTGCTTTTTAAATTATTTCCTGTCACCCCATAGGAGTCAGGCTCTAAGGGCCAAGCTTATGTCTTCTTGCTTTCTCCCAAGTATTTCACATAACAGGTTCCTAGTGAATGTTTATGGAATGATGAAATTATTACTCAAAGGACATAGATGTACCCACTATACATTTGGTAAAGCACTGTAATTTCTAGAAGAATCATCTAGGTTTTCTAAAGGAGGATGCATTGAAACTATCTATTTTCAGATGTAGGTCTTTTTTTTAAAAAATTTATTGAATTTTTGTGTATTTCATACAGAACATCTCAATCAATCTTAATCATCTTTATACTCCCCTCCCCACTGGCCCCTTCCCATAGCTCCCCATTGGTAGGTCCAGACAGCTTATTGTCCCTCCTCTCCCTTATCTCTTGCTCTTTTTGGGTCATTTGTAGGCATCAGCCATGGCTCAGTGGTAGCTGGTGTGATCGGCGCTAAGAAACCACAGTATGACATTTGGGGTAAAACTGTGAACTTGGCAAGCCGGATGGACAGCACAGGAGTGAGTGGCCGGATCCAAGTCCCTGAGGAGACCTATCTCATCCTGAAGGACCAGGGCTTCGCCTTTGACTACCGAGGGGAGATCTATGTGAAGGGCATCAGTGAGCAAGAAGGGAAAATCAAAACATACTTTCTTCTGGGAAGAGTCCAACCCAACCCATTTATCTTGCCTCCAAGAAGACTACCCGGGCAGTACTCCCTGGCTGCGGTTGTCCTTGGCCTTGTCCAGTCTCTCAATAGGCAAAGGCAGAAACAACTACTCAATGAAAACAGCAACACAGGCATCATCAAGGGCCATTACAACCGGCGGACTTTGTTGACACCCAGTGGGCCAGAGCCTGGAGCCCAAGCTGAAGACAGCGACAAATCCGATTTGCCATAAAAGCATTTTCTTTGTGTTTCTTTCTCTTTTTTGTATTTCTTTTATATATAAAATAAATATACTAATAAAAATGTTTAATTTTTTTTAGAACAAGGATGGTTTCGTTGGTCTTTGAATGTACCAGATCAAGAACACAATTTGAGGTTCTCCTCAATCACCACCTTTGCCGATCTCCTCTTGTATAGGAGATGTATTGGGAAGCAAAGAGAAAGGCCAAGCTTCTGACTTTGAGAGGTTCACAACTACCTGGGAAAAGGGATATGTGAACAGAGACTTGACATTACTGGATTCTCAGTAACATGTGACATTTTTGAATACTTGTCATATACCAGACCAAGTAGAATATGAATTTCTATAAACAGTGACCTCATATAGCCCTCACAATAACTGTGCTTTTGTTCAGCTGGTATTTGTTGAGCATTTGCAATGTACCTAAGCTGTCCAGTGTCTCAAAGAAATTCTGGCAAAAATGTTTTCCTCATAGAGCTCATAATGCTCTGTTTGGGGCTAATAGATATATTATTATACATCTATACATATGATACATATTATATACAGCCTACTTTCAGACAGGAAGAGGAGCAATAAAAAGGTTAAGTATAGAAGCTGGAGAGATTGCTCAGCAGTTAAGAGTGCTTGCTGCTCTTCCAGAGGAACTGAGTTTGGTGCCCAGCATTCATGACAAGCAGCTCACAACTACCATTAATGCCACTCCAAGGGATACAACACCCTCGTCTAGCACCTGCAGTCCTATCACACACACACACACATACATGCAAAGAAAAAGGTTTTAAGTTGGACATGGTAGTGAACACTTTTAATCCCAGCACTCAGGAGGCAGAAGCAGGCATATCTCTGTGAGACTGGGGTTCCAGGTCAGCTGAGTTTACAGGGAGTCCCTGCCTCAACAGAAAAAGAAAATTAATCTAGGTATGGCTGCTGAGATAAAGAATTGGTGGGCGGGGATTTAACTGAAACAGAGAAAGCTTTTCGTAGGTACGATTTTGAACATTAGCCCTAAACAATGTGAAAGCAGAAACAGGCAGGATTGGGAAAAAGTGATCTGAACAAAAAGAGCCGGCAAGTGCAGACTCCCTGGGGCAAGTTCGTACTGGATGAACAGCTGGAAAGCCAACTTGGAGGCATTAGAGGCATTTCCCTAGTTTCCTAGGAAGACCACAGTGTACCCTGCCTTCTCATGAGCACAGACCCTGCAAGGAAAGTGTCATCCAAATGAGACAGCTCAGAAGCTACTAAAGGCTTTGCTCAAGATCACATATCTAACTATGGAGCCCGTTTGAAACCACATGGGTCAACAAAAGCTCACCACTATAAAAATGACTGCCTAGCTGAGTGACTAAAACACAGTAAAAGATTGACTTCTTGTTATATCTTCTCGGGTGTGTGGTAGGGGGTCTTTCATTCAATTCTTTTGGAACACAACCTCATTCTACTGAAGCACCAGAGTCCTCTGCTTGGTCCTCTACATCTACTCGGCTGAAGAGACCAAAGGAAAGGTAATATCACTCAGAAGCTCTTGGACACCAGGACTGGAGGTTGCTGGTGTGACTGATATTGCTCTGTCCCACCCCCTGGCTAGGCAATGGATTATTCTGGTGTCTCTTTCTAAAAGGAAAATGAAGCATTAGGAATAGCAATGCTTCTGCCACAAGAGCTTGTACCTGCTTAACCCAAAGCCCATGTTTGTAAAAACAAAGATGCTAAGGCCCTTGTTGGAAATGTAAGGTTTAGGGAATGTGTAGCAATGATGAAGTCTCAATTATTCCCTAAACTCTTGTTTAAAAGAAACTTAGTGCTCAATAACAAATACACAGTGAGTGTGTGTTCAAAGAAATACTTAGCAGAGATTTCTTAGGTGTTTTTGTGTAAGAAGTAATCTACCAAAGCAGGGCACAGAGCACAGAGAAGGAACTGACGTCTGGGTAGACCATGAACTTTGAGCCATGTTTGGAATTCCTTTTGCCCTTAGCAGCCATGTGCACATCAAGGAAACGTGTGAGGTACCAAGGACCTGTAATGAGGATGTCCTAAGAAAGCCTCTTGTCTGAGTCATGTTGGCCTCACTGTGACAAAATACCTGAGGAAAACAATTTAATGGGCAGAAGTACTATTCAGCTCACAGTTTCAGAGGCTTCAGTCCCTGCAGGCTGGTTCCACTGCTTCTGGGTCTGCTGTGAGGCAGAACATCATGATGAGTAAAGCTGCTTCCCTCGGCAGGGAAGCAGAGAGGGAAAGAGGTCAATGGTAATAAATACCCTTCAGAAGTATGCCCCTAGTGACTGATTTCCTGCTTTCAGGTCCTACTCGAATCTGTCTATGGATGATTAGGCCATAACTCTCATGATTTAGTCACTCCCCAAGAGCCCCACCTTTGAAATTGCATTGGGTACCAAAGCATCAACACATAAGACTTTGGGGAATATACTTCATACCTAAGCCATAACAGCTCTACAAAGTATAAAGTCCTCTGCCAGTAGTATCTTTGAAAACTTAGAGTCTTAGGTAAGGAAATCTCCAATGGTCATTAAGTTCAACCTGCTGAGGTCATTTAAGTAAGACAAAGCTCAGTGCATGCTAGGACTTGGAGCCACAGGATGTTGGAGATAGGGAACTGAAACACGCAGTCTGGGATCTAAGGCACTAACTCTAGCAGAGCTGCTGGTCTCAGAAAAGCAGTCAAGCTCAAAAGACAGTTTGTAAAAGGCAGATAAAGCATCAAGCTTCAGTCTACTCGAGAGAGTAGGGCCCATCTGAAGCCCATGGGAAACTCTGAATTGAGCGTCTGGGTAAGCAGCTAGATACAGCCCCAAGAAGGGAGGCTACTGGGGACAGGATTTGTTCCTAATCCTTGAGCAAAGTCACTGAACTAGGAGTAAAGCATGGTCCTGGGAAAGACAGCTAGGCAGAAACTAAGGTAGGAAACATCAAGCTTGGGGATGCTGCCACTTTGTGGGTGCTGGGTGGACTCAAGCTGGAAAACATCACCAGAACTTGCTCCTGACTCAGTGATGTCAGGTCTAGAGCTATATCAGATGAAGAAACAAACACCCCAACTTGGGTCTGAAAGATGTAGCTTTGTTCAAGACTCCACCAAACAGAGCAACAAGGTTGCTGAGACCCTCCAAAAATCTCTCCAAGGGGAGATCTTGCCTGGACTCCAATTCATCCAATCCCTAAGCACTGAGTGTCTGAACTTAAGTCACCCTACTCATCAGCAGATGGGTGAGTTTTCCATTCTGAGGACCAAAGGGCCAAAGGAGACAGATACAACTAGTAAACTGACCTGTAGTTGAAAAGCTAGGAAACAAACCTCTGCTTGAGTCTCATATGGTCGGTCTGGAGAAGTCACAAAAGCAGAACCGGTTCCTAAAACGAGAGATATTTTCTGTGTCGGCCCTCTAGGCACATTCACTTCATTTAGTAAAAGAACTAGAAGTTAAAATGACTTCTAGAAAGCTGGTATAATTCCGAAAGCAGCCTAGCATAGCAGTCAACAATGTAACTTCACCTGTCCCCTCTAAACTTTGCCTTGTGAGACCTAGGATTTGATCTAGGGATGTCAAGGGTCAACCCTGAAAAAAGAAGAGCTTGAAATGGTAAACTGCAAAAAGAAATACAGAGTGGCAACTGCATATGCTTAGATATAACATAAAAAGCTTTTTCAACAGCTCTTCATGCTTGACTTAACTGGGACCTAATGCAAGTAGCCGATATTCCCCTGCCATTTATTAGCCTACATGGTAAAGGGACCATCCCCAAAGACAAGCACAGGCTGGTGGAGAAGAAGCAAGGATATTGATGACATTCATCTAGGTACCCATGGCGGTGGGAGGTTCACTCTGAGCTCAAGACTTCTGACTAAGTTATCATGTCTGTTTGATGGATGAGGGAACTAAGGCATGGAGTAATGACTAGCTCATTCAAAGCCTCAGCTAGAAATTGTTAGCTAGAAAATTCACCTAGAATATACTGGATATAAAAGACAGGAGTCAGATCCCATGCCAAGCACCATTGCTCAGCACTGTTGCAGGGTAAATACTAGTAACTCAGTGAAAGTCTTGGGTCTGAAAGATGTAGCTTCATCAGATCTGAGCAGACTCCCATTGTACATCATCCAAATTGGAAAGCAGCCTCAAAGCTGGGACTTTAAAAGAACACCCACAAAGCTGTGACTGTAGTCATTGGAACAGCCAAAGATCCAAGTACTGGACCCAAACAGCTTCATCCTCTTCCTCATGGGGTCAAACTATTGCCATTTGCTTTGTGTGTTGCAACATGAACAATGTAGAGAATGATTGGACCAAGTTAAGAGGCCATCATGATCTGAATCATGCCTCTATCACTTCCCAGTTTGATACCATGCAAGTGACATGAGCTTGGAACACCTGTGACCATAAAGGAAGCTATGGTGACTTGGTATTCAGAAGCCGTCAGATTTGAAGAATATGGAAGCTCACCGTAAACTAGAGGACAGCTTGGGTGTCCTTGCTAGGTCTAAGGCGGTGCTTGGGAGTCTAAGGCGGTGCTCAGTAACTCCCGTTTAGCTTTGTCAACTCAACACAGCTTACAGTCATCTGGGAAGAATCTCAATTAAGAGATTTCCTGGATCAGACTGGGACCTGTAGGCATGTCTTGAGGATTTGTTGTTGTTGTTGTTAATTGATATAGGAGGGCCCATTTTATTGTAGGCAGCACCATTCCCTGGGCAGACAGCTTTGGGCTGCATAAGAAAACTAGATAAGCTTGAGGCAGTGAGTGAACCAGCAAGCAGCATTACACTATGGCTTCTGCTGTACACGAGTGAGTAGAAACCTTGTTTCTCCTTGTCTCTGAGGTCCCTGGTTAGCAGTGTTGTACAGGATAACAAGCAGGCCGCCTTGAGTACCTACCCTGACTTCCCTCAGTGATGGACTATAACCTGTGACCTGAAATAAACCCTTTTCTCTCCTAAGCTGCACTTGGACAATATTTTATTATAGTAACATATATAACTAGAGTAGTAACTGACCACATTTATAACATCATAGCCAAACATGAATATTCACACCAAGTGGCATAGAAGTCTCCAAGTA